CTTTTTCCTTTTTTTCCTTTTTTTTTTTTTTTTTTTTTTTATTTTTATTTTTATTTTCCCTTCTTTCCGGGTTTCCCTGAGGGCCGAGAAGCTACCGGTGCGGCAGGGCAGGACACCACATCCGGCCGTGAGGACTCAGGACTCAGGACTCAGGAGGAGGCGGACTGAAGAGGGTCGTGACCGCTGTGCTGCGTCACGGTGTCGTCAGTACCAGAGCTGGTCGGGAGGAGCTGTGAGTCGGATCGGATGAAGGGTAAATCATCAACCCTTTTCCTGTTTGGGTTGTCGGGGCCCTGGTCCTGCCCGCTCTGGCACATACCGGGACAGGTACGACGTACGCAGTAGGTAGTTGTCGCCAGACGGAGGCGGGAGGGGAGGTCGGGCTCGTCGGGCTCGTCGGGCTCGTCGGGCTCGTCAGTCTCGTCAGTCTCGTCAGTCTCGGCCGGGAGTGCGCATTGGAAAGCGACGTGAGAGATCCGAGGCGGGGCTTGCGCCGTGGAGCCGGGCGTGTGGAATCGACTACTACTTCTACTACTAATACTACTACTACTACTACTACCACTACTACTACCACTACGTACGACGTACCTATTCGGTGGAAAAGACGTGCAATCCCTGGAATCCCGGGAAGATCTGGGACACACGTGCCGCAGAGGATGTAAGCGAAGGGCTCGTGTCCTCGAGGAGCCTGGACGGCGGAGGGAATGAATGTACTACGTACGATGCAATGTCAGGCAGGTAGTGTAGGTAGGTAGGTAGGTAGGTAGGTAGGTAGGTAGGTAGGTAGGTAGGTAGTGTCAGCGTGAAATGAGATGAAATGAATGGCCCCTTGCAGCGATTTCCACATCGACCGGCTCATATTCGTCCGTCTCACCCAGGCGTCCAGGGAGGCGCCATCATCAGTCGGTCACCCGGATGGAGACGCAGCGAATGACACCTGGACCTGTGTACTGTGCTGTGCTGTGTGGTGCTGTGTGGTGCTGTGCTGTGTGGTGCTGTGCTGTGCTGTGTTGTGTGGTGTGGTGTTGTGCTGGCCAAACTTCGATATCCATCCATCCCACAGCCTCACGCTACCTACTACCTACTACCTACTACCTACTACCTGCCGGTGGGTCGGTCTGTGGCTCAGAGCGCGTCCTGGGCCCGAGAAGCCACGAGAAGCCAACATTGCATACTCGCTTCCCGGATGTTCGTTTTATCTTGGCATCGCCATCTCCTCTGGTTGCTTTCTTTTCTCGACACCAATCAATATGCGAGTGGGGAGATGATTCAACCGGTTTAGTTGTAGGTGCTAGTAGCAGTAGCAGTAGCAGTAGTAGCAGTAGTAGTAGTAGTAATAGTGGGAGTGGTAGTAGTGGGAGTGGTACTTAGTGGTAACACTGTATGGATACCGGTATACTCGTAAGTATGGAGAGAGAGATATCGGGAGGTGAGATCTGATAGACCCCGACTATGGTGGTCCGGACTGCACTGCACTGGACGGGATGGCGGGGACCAAGCGAAATCGGGTTGAACATCAATACCTACTCTGTATCCTCTGTACAGAGGCAGAGGTCCAATGAACACCGACTGATGAACACCGACTGACTGCCAACTGCCAACTGCCATCTGCCCCCCCTTTTTCTTCAATCATTCCCATCACATCCCACCCCACCCCACCCCACCCCATACCCGCTAAACCCCGACGTCGGAAAGAGCTAGTAGTAGCTACACGTGCCTT